TTGCATTTTTATAACATGCAAATATGAAAAGATAAGTTAAGGATTTATTAGATATCTCTTTCTACTCCCATCCTCTAGGGATGGGTAGCCAACCAAGATATCTCTTTCTATAAATTTTTTTTTTTTATCTGTCTTAAGATTTTAATTTAAAATTTTAAACTTAGAACTTCAAATTCTGAGCAATTGAGATATCAATTAGAGATAGGGTAAGTTCTTTAAATTCTCAACAATAAATAAATCCTTTATGTTCTTTAATAGACTAGTTATTCCTCCTTCTTTTATATTGGGGATTATCTCTAACCTTTCATTTATAGCTATTTTGTCCATAAACATTTTCATGGGGTTTCATTTTCATCCTTTAACTCATTTGACTCAATAAAAAAAAAAAAATGGTCATTTAGATTAAGAAATTTTGCTAGGGAAAGGATAGTTAAGGGAAACTCACATGAGTGTTCAAACTCTGATTATACAAGTGAAGAAAAACTTTTATGTCAATATAATTTGATAAGTTACTCTACAAGTCTTCTTCATCAAAATAATTGATAACTGAATTGATTATATAATTATTTAGACTTAATAATGCATTTAATGACGAGATGCTTATGTAAGAAATATCTATTTCTTTGAATTTGATTAGCCATACCAAAGATAATTAAAAGGTTGGACGTGGCAATTTGCTATAAGCTAGAAGAGATCTAATGACACAAGAAAATAAACCAACTTGCAAGGCAACAAACCAATGAGACAATGATCTCCAAAGCTGTAATTTTCATCCTTGTTTTTATTTATGAGTTATACAATTTGAGATAATCTTTATCACATTTATTTGTTATAGAACTTCTAACAAGTAATTAGATTTTATTTTACCTATTTCACATGGATGTTATACGGAAAAATAATTGGTACAACTTATAATTTAACACATCTTTTAATACTTATTTAGTTCAGTTATTAAAATATAATATAAGTATAGTTGATTCAATCAATTTCTACATATTGTATGTATGACAACATTTTTAAATTTGTATGTCTTTAATTTCATATTAAAAATTAATTTTTTAATGAGTATATTGTATAATATGTTTAATTAAAAGGTATACTAATTAATGTCTGATGTTATACCATTCAAACTAAGAATTTCTAATTTTCAAAATTGAAAAAGAGATTACCACTAGATTATATTAATGATAATGACAATGTTATAATTATAATGTCTAATAAGAGTGCAAATTTACAATTATAATTTGTTATTAAATAAGTTGATATACACAATATCACGGATAAATACTTAAATGAAAAGAATCAATTATATAATAATATATTATAATTATACCACATGGCATCATAATGATATTATTTTTGCATCAATAACTTTGCTCTTCAATTGTACTACCAGAAATGATACATATATATATATAAGAGAATGTACTAGAGCATATGTACTAATTAAAACTCATGTACCAACTAAAACACACAATCTCCTTGTATTAAATTATATAAACCCACCAACTTAACCACTTGCTTCCATAAATCCCAAAAGTTAGGGCTCTGAAGAGGTAAGATTATTAGCATTTTATATGTCATGTTGTTAAAGTTGGAAAAGGGACAGCATCGAAGGTGGGGTTCGATCAATGTCTTGTTCTCATTTATTTAAGAGTACCGAAAGCACTTTGCAGAAACCAATTATCTGGCAAATTTAAAACAAAAAAGGATATGGGGTTTTGGTGGAAGTACCAAGTAATGCTTTTACACTATTTTATTTAAACACCTTTCCCATCCATTTTTTGATCTCAGACTGATGAAAACCCATTGTTATCTTACAATAGTGGATAAATTTCAGCTATACGACATAGAAATAGGGAAAAAATGAGGAGCCAATGATTTCTTGATTAAGTGTTAAACCAAAGATACTCCAAAACTTTAAGATTTTCAATTTCAACTTCCGCTTTGTAAATGGTATATTTCACTATATAACTATAGAGGTGTTGCATTTTTTTTTTCTCCTTTTGATATTTGTTAGTGGGAGATTAACTACAGATTAAGATTGTGATGGTGAAATTTACTTATTTATTTGTTTCTTTCTTTTTGAATTGCAATCAAATAATATTTTTATAGGAAATAGAGATTGTATTAAAATAAATGATATTGAGATTATAGATGAATCTATATACTACGGTAAGCATGTATAATCAAAATAAAAGCATATCTTATAGCACTAGATACAAACTTAAACAATGCTCTTTATAGATATAAAAGATTAAACAATGCTCCTTACAGATATAAAAGATTAAGTATAGAGAATCATTTATACTTAAAGAATACATTAGAAATCATTATAGGACATAAACAAAGCTATTAACATAGAAAGAAAGTAATTGTATCTTAAACTACTAAATATTCTCAACTGCTATGTTAGGCTCCTGAAGAGAGCAAGTACTTGGATTAACAAAAGTTTTCACCTACTGACAATCCTTGCATAGAAATACTATCCCTAATGGAGGATATTACATCCATAATTTACTAGCCCAAGCCATCTCCTCTGAGTTGCCAACGAAAACTTGCATCTTAATCTTTCTAGTTACCATCTAAGAAAATTTCAAGCCGCAACCACCATATGCAAAGGGAGAAACTTGCAGCGCAACTAGGATTTTTTTTTTTTTCTTCCCGATCGTACAGAAGAAGGAGTAAAGAAGGGAGGAGAATGGCGGCAGAAGCTTTTTGTTGGGGGAGACGCAAGCTGTTTGTTTAGAAACTACAATCAAATAATATCTTGAGTTCTAATCTAAAAAAAATAATATCATGAGTTAGCATATGCACATCACAATATGCAAACTTATCAATTTTTTTTTTTATCGACAATATACAAGCTTATCATTTTAATTCTATAAAACTGACTAAAATATAAGTTTTCATGTGAGTGTGAGGATCAAGAGCCGCCCCTACGCCATTCTCTCTTGCTTACTCAACCCAAAGAGTATGCTTCTTCTATTTGAGGCCATTTTCTTGTGCTCATGGATATATTGATCTAGAGGGTGACGAAATAGAACCATGGATGCATTGTGCTGGACTGATCCTATGATCCAATCTACTCTATTTGTTATTTAGCTCTAGTTAATAAAATTTCTCTTTCCACAAAAATGTCAAGTTTTCCTTAAACTAATCCCAAATTTACCGGCTTAAATGATTTAAAAGGTACTAGAAATGTTAGTATTGAATCATTTTATACCAATTAGCCAGATCTAAAGGGAGAAGATCAATATCTTAAACCTCAAAAGATCAACATCCCTATTAAATTCATTAATCTCCATATATAAATGCTTTATTCCCATCTCTTCCAATAAAACTAGTTGCTTCCTACCTAAAATTACCTAAGTAGTTTTTTATTTTGGGTAAATACCAAAATAGTTTTTTTTAGGGGTATATTGGGAGGAAATTAACTGTTTGGCAGTTTAAATTCTTATTCTTGACTTTAAATTAAAAAATTTAAATTATTGAGTATCAACCTAATGAAGCTCCAATTTAATTTAATGCATATAAAAAAAAAAAAAAGAAACAATTGGTTGTATGAATATGGATTTGGAAAAAAGATCACCGCACAAGTCGCATTCAAGGGAAGGTGTTCAACCACTAATTACATAAGAAAAGGCACTCAAAATGCCTCTTCAAGTTCATGACATCTTGCAGATCTCATTGTCACACAGGATGCCTTTGTCTGTGTGTCAACCATTAGAAAAGAGTGGCAAATATTACATCAGAGATGATCAATGTTTTCCCTACTTTGTTTTAGATTTGTCCGCAGCATTTGTTGAAAGTCGACTGTACATGCACTTTCACATCCTTGGATTTTCTTATAGGGTTAGGCATGAATATGGTTGGTTTGTTTTTGTAGTGCAACCTATAAAGACCTATAAAGGTATCGGTTTTAAATAGTTTACGTAAAATAATCTATCTTATAATAATTTCGGCTTCTTAAAAACTACTAAATAAAGATTTTCTTTATTATAAAAATTAGAATTGGGTCAAATGTAAATTTTTGAGGAGTGATTCATACTTTCTTAAAAGTTGTTTTCAGCTATAATTAAAGCTACAAACTTGTAACTTTTTTTTTTCCCAAACAAACTTGTAATTTTTGACTTAGCATTTTGTTGTTAAACTTTTGAATTTAATAATTTTTATCAATTTCTAAAATTTTTTATAGTTACTTTATATGAATTGATAACCAGCATTTTTATAAAATCTCCACTCAAACAACACTTGTACCAAAACTACAACTACAACGAACAGACTGTCTGGGGCCTTTCTACGTAAATTGAGCCAAGTGTACAACCCTAGCCTTTCCATTTTCAAAAAGTAAATAACTTTTTAGTGTACTGATTCTGAAGGATGCAGCAATAATATGAGCAGGTGGCAGAACACAAAGCAAGTTTCTTTCTGACGAAAAAATAAAGGTGAGAAAGAAGTGGGGTTTTGCTTTTCTCCTGAAAAAAAGAAACTGGGTGGGCTTTTTGAAGCAGTTTCGAGGAGAGATTCGAAGGGTTTTTTTTTTAAATTTTTTTTATAACATAGATATTTAGACTCTGTTGATCTCGTAAATACTTATAAATCACTTCATTTACGAATATTAAATATAAGGTTTCATCTCTAAGGTGGCAGACATAATTTATTAAAATTGTTTATATATAAATGGCAATGGAAGGATTCAAATCCACATGAAAAATGATTAGTATATATTTAATTTAATATATTTTTTAACATATTTTTGATTTAAATATTAAAAATATAATATAAATATAATCGATTCAATCAGTTTTTACATTTTATGTCCATGATTATATTTTTAAATTTATTTATTATTAATTTTAAATTAAAAAATAATAAATTTTTAATAAATATATTATATAATGTATTAAACTAAATGTGTAATAATTATTATAATGCAATACACATTTTCGGCATGATTTAAATGATTTTTTTGACCACTTAAACCAACCGCAAACGGATTCCAAGGCACATAATGCAGATGCTTTTGACTTGGATGCCACGATTGAAAAGCCAGTCAAAACTAGAGTATCATTTCCAGTATTTGATCCATAACAGGTAAATGAGATACAGAAATATATAGAAAGAACTTTCCAATGGAAGAATATGCAACCGAATATGCCAGTTAACAAAACTGATAAACATGACAGTAAAGGATCTACTGAAAAGTTCCACCAAAAAAAGGGATCTACTGAAAAGGGATGAGTCAGGCTAGTAAAGAGTGAGTTCATCCTTCTCCCTCGAAGAAAATATGAAGTCAATGAATGTCTTGATCTACTTGAATTAATAGCTTTTCTTAGTTTTTTAGCTAATGGTATTGAGAATCACAACTTTCTAAAGAAGCTGAAGGGAGAAAAGGTAAGTGCATATGTAGCCAACAATAGATAAATGCAGAGTAATATCAAAGAAATCTTTCAGGGAGCCCCATTGCCTGAATTTGCATATTGCACAATGGTTTTCAGCAAAAAAATCACGGATAGACTGTATAATTGAACATATACACAGCAGGACTCCTTGAAAATCATTTTATTTTTTTTATTTTTTGGTATTTACAGTCTAACATACAAAACAAACACATACTTATCAGTAGATCCAACTGTTGAGATTATCATTTTAGCTTTCTTACTAGTAAATATTTGGACACAAATTAGCTGTGTATTTATGAGAGGGACAGAAAAATTACCACTTTATTGAGATGTTCTTCAAAACCCATTGGGACATGCTGTGAAACCTTCAAGCAACAGGTATGAACATAAGAAGAAGAAGACCAAATTGAATTTCGTTGGCAATGGCAAGAAAGAATGTAGGTTTGACATTTCATGGCAAAACTGTAGTACATGTAGTTAGTAACAGAAGAATTATTTGGCATTTTATGGCATTTTAGACACACTAACAAGAAAGTGGAACAAATGTCTTTCATGGACTTAAAACAAGTCATTGCATGGACACTTAAAACTCAGTTTTAAGGGTAAATGAAAGGTAATAAAATAGAAACATGAATAAAAGCAAATGGATAAAGATCATTATGAAGAGAGATCGCACCAAAGCACTCCACCAATGAAAGAAATGAGCTAACATGACAATTGTTGAACGACAATGGTCCCTGCAGTGTGCACAGTCCTCCATGGAAGCACTTGAATCAAATCTTAATGTGATTTAAATAAGATAGAAAAGAGAAAATAATGCTATCTATCCAACATAAGCAATACCGTAACTTACTTCTGTAACATGTCCTGCCAGCGATATTGTTTAGAAAACATGTTATTGTTGCCTTTTTTGCAGTCAAGGGCATGATATGACAAGATCCCATGATAAGGTTTGTTATCATCAATGACCTGATTAAAGAGCACTAGTTAGGACAAGATGTCTTTATAGCATATGTGTCTCTGATTTGGGAAGACAATGTATGTACTGTTCTGTCACATGAGAAGGATTAATAGTTTAGGAGTGAATATAAAATGCCATTGAGGAATGTTGTTGCAAATTTTAAAAATAAAAGAAAACAAATAATGCATAAAAAAATGGAAAATTAGCTAAAATTTTGAAAGTTCTATAGCCGACTCATTACACATAACAGCAAAATAAATGATGATAATGTGCTCCATAGGAAGCAGCACGCAGCGAAGGAAAGTAAGGTTGTAATCAACTAATATGGCATTAGCATTTAGCCGCATAAGTTTAATTTCCTAATCCATGCTAAAGAAGAGAAACAAACATCTAATTCAATACAAATTCACCTTGTATTTAATGTCTTGACATTTAACACCAACCATTGCACGATGTCCAATAATGTTATTACAATCTATGACAGTACCCCAGCAAGACCATCACCAACCACAGCACCCCTGCCTGACAAAGCTTTTAAGTGGTTGAGCAATTACAACGTAAACTACAAAACACATCACATGTCAAACTGAGACACAACCTGTGCAGTAAGTGTTGAACTTTATTAATTCTAATAAATTTTGAAACTTCATGAATTCCAATAATCTTTGAAAAGTAAGGAAGCAATCAATCTGCTGAAAACAGCATTTCAGCAAAGAAGAAGTAGCCTTTCAATAGAAAAGCAACAGCCAACAGCCAGTACAGGAGAAGCAATACTAGTTCCCATTATGCATTCAGTGGCAGCAGAATCCAAACTATATGTAATAATATAAACAAAGAGAAGGAAATTGCAAACCTTTAAACAAGGAAGAAAAAGTGCACCTGATCAATCACGGTAAGCATTTGGATTGATGGTTGAAGATGAGTGTATGAAGCTAGTAGCCTCCTTTTTCTCCATGTAACAAAGAAACCACTAACCCATTAAACAAGTTGTTCAATCTTCATATGCAAAACAAGGAACCCATTAACCAAGGGCTTATGGTTTGTGTTGCGGAGAAGCGCCCGAGTCTGAAAGACAGTGAGGAGGGAGGAGTAAAACGGCTTCAGAATTTCGAGCCGGGATTCATGTGAACCAAATTTGGGGACCGCTGGAAAATACATGACTTGGAGGAAGTTTGACTTTGGATTGGGCTCTAAGCCTCTAGACATTGGGCCACTTACGTTTCACTGCCTTAATTAAATTTAAAAAATATTTTATAATATGATACAGTCAAGATAGAATATTAATTATTAAATTAAATGGTTTTTTTTTTTTTTTTATATTGGTTGCATAACGAAAGGTAATCTTCTCTCATCCCTTATTACATTCTACCCGCATGTCATATGACTTGAATTCATGATCTATTACTTATCACATGTTATCCACGTATCATACAATTTAAACTTAAAATTTCTTATTTTTAATGAAATAAAATTACCACTGAATTATTTAATTCGTTGAGTGAATTAAACGATTTTAATAATGAGAAAAATAGTTGGTATTTGACAATTTCAACAATGGACTCTAATTAAGGTTCTTTTATTGGAGATTTTGATAAACCTTTTTCGTACAACATGTTACCTAAAAAATTAAAATGTAAATTTATAATTCTTAATTAATTTCAACTAACTTTTTATATATTTTTAATAGTAAAAATACAAAAGAAACTCAGTACTGCCAAATCAAGCCTAAATCTACAAAAATTAGGTAAAAGGAAAAATGTTGCAATTTACAGCTTTCAACTTCTAGAGCTAAATCTATACCCAACACAAGAATGCGATGTTGTTCATTGTTTACAAATAATCTTTTCCAATGGGCCCTTCTTATGCTACAAGGTGGCTGCTATTAAATCCTTCTCCTGCTCCAATCAAGCTTGGATTAAGGCAGTTTGCTGTTCTCTTCATCTGCTTCTTATACTTCTTTAAACGCATACATCAATGGCTCAATTCATAACGATATCCCCTTCCAACATCCGAAGCACCTTTAGGAAGTAGTTAACAAGAAGTTAAATTTGAAACAATAACGTTAAACCTCTAATATTGTAATGCAAAATGCCTTTTTCAGCCTGTAATTTGTTCAAAAGAAGCCTCAAAATGTTGTGTAACTGGTATCAGTGTCTTGAAGCAGACACTCGGGTCAAGAAACGACTGTGCATGCGGTCCATATATTAAATGTAAAATGATTGCTAACAAATAAGCTTCAGTTTTCTAACCTGAGACATACGAGGCCTTGAATTAGGGTCACGCCTAATGCACAAGGAGGCACACTGCAGCATGTTATAAATCTCTTGCTCCGAGTAGCAGTTTCCTAACCGTGGATCAATCAGTTCATGAATGGCGCGTCTTTCTAGCAAAGGGCGTGCCTGCTCGAAAGATAAAGCAATGAATTAACTTAATCCCCATAGAGCATTCATCATCACACTTGTAAAAGAAGTCAAGTCCACTAATACCCATTCAGTGAGACACTGCTGTCCCTTGGGCCTGTTTAGATCCATAGCTTTCCGTCCAGTAATCAGCTCTATCAATACCACACCTAATGAGTAAACATCAGCCTTCTCTGTTATTTGGCCACTTTGAGCATACTCAGGTGCTAAATACCTAGCAGGCAAAATCTTTTCTGTATTAACTGTCTATCTTAACAAGTAACGTAATAATGAAAGAGAATAAATGAATAAAATATACGCCTACCCAAATGTTCCAATCACCCTAGTTTCAACTCCCAAATCACCATTTGGCTGCCACCTTGCCAATCCAAAATCCCCAACCTATAAAATCCAGAAGCAGGAGTCAGTTCCCTTTCAGTTTAATGTGTTGACCAAAAAGATCACTTGATGCAAAAGAAGGAATGTTTATATTTGAATGAATGGTGCATTTAGAAAGAAACCAGGTGACTGGGAGTATTTGAAACTATGTTCAGTTGACATACAAGAGGTTCAAAATCATGGGTGACAAGGATATTGTTAGGCCGCATATCACGGTGGACAATGCAACCAACTCTGCATTCTTCATGAAGGTATCTCAAACCTCGAGCTGCTCCAACAGCAATTTTTTGTCGTGCAGACCATTCCAATGGTTTACGATTTTTTCCTGCAAGATAAACATTGGAGTTAGATTCCGAGACTGGGAACTTAAATTCTGTGGAAACCCTGAGGGCTTTTAGCTAGAAAGGCTAAGCTGGGCATTATTTGACAATCCAATCCAATCTGACCAAAGCAATTCCCAGTTAAGTATTTGACATTAAATGCGAATGTCCTTGGAAATTTCAGTTAGTTCCAAGCTTTTTGAAGCAAAACTATGATAAATGGTGCAAGTTCAATATTAAACTGGAGAGGAAAATCTTCCCTAACTACAGCAATTCCAGTCATTTGCTTGCATAAATAACACTTCCATGACAAAGATTGTTATGCCATGACATACACTAGGATAGAAGGAACTTACCATAAAGATGAGAATCCAAAGATCCATTGCAAATATACTCATAAACTAGCAATCTTTTCCCATCCTCAATGCAGAATCCAATGAGCATCACAACATTGCGATGCTGTGCACAACTTAAAACCTCAACTTCTGAGCAAAATTCTTGATCACCTTGATGACTAGCCAGTTTATATTGCTTAACAGCAATGACCTGGCCATCTGGCAAGATCCCTTTATGAACAGAACCAAATCCACCTTCAGCCAAGAAATTTGCTTGCGAAAATTCATCTGTTGCAAGTTCCAGTTCAGCATAGGAGAACCATCTTGGAGGATTCCCAAATACAGGGGCCTTGTGCTGACATATTGAACACAATGGAGGAGGGCCAGCAGGTGCATTTTTGGAAAATGAAATAGCTTCTCTCACACTTTTGCGCATGTTTTGATCAAGCCTATAATTGATTCCAATATCAGGTTCTCGACTCAATACTGAAAATTTCTCCAACAAAAAGCTATATGTATAATTTGGTCTTTCTAAACCCTTTCTAAGGTATCTTGAATAATTGCTAGGACTCAGAATGTCAGCCATCCATGGCTGGAAAAATGATCCAGTGGAAGGACCTAGCCTTTCACTAGAAGTGTCAGAATCATATTCAAATAAACTTTGATTATCTTTAGGAATGAAGGTAGGCTCCTTCTTCAAGCTTTCATATATCCCAGCAAGGAGACAAGGAGAAGCCCCTGGATCAGAGCTTGATATTGATGAAGTTCCAATGTCAGTGGTGGTCACTGATGAGTCATGCTCTGGACTACTTGCAGGAGTCACAAATGGCCCTCTAATTGCATCTGACTGGTCATGATTGATTTGCTTGTGTTTCAGAGAAGCTTCTGATTCAAATGATAGTGGCCAAGCCACTTCAGATGCCATCCTTGGTGATGATTCAACCAAATTCAATCGAAGAACCTTTGCCTGAGAACGTTTCATCACCACAAGATTGCATTGCAATTCTTCCAAGCAGAATTTCTTCTCATGTTTTAAATGTCTGTCAAAAGTTTGATAATAGTAATTAATCAAACAAATAGAACTAAGGAAACTAAATTAAAAGGAAGGATCAGAACATGAGAAGGTCGCCTGATGGAGAAAGCCAGCAAGTAAGAGCACAGGCAATTTCATACTCCAATTTTAGCTAAAAGCAAATCCTTAATCAACAGAACATATGGTATGCCATGCAAGAGACAAGGTTTACATTATATACATTACTTGTCCAATATGACCCAATTTGATTGAACTTTCTTGGCTTCAGCAGCCACCACCCCGCATGGTGAGCTAGAAACTATCTTTACCCTGACTTTAACCTGTGAACAGCAATACATACATTCAATAGGCATGAAACATGTAACCACTAAAAATTTGAAAAGTGATTTTCGCCACTGACCTTCTCTGGGTCATAAACATCATTCAACTGAAGCATCATATGGGAGCATGAATCTGTAATATCATCTTTGTGATCTGAACTAGCTCCTGAAAGAGACCTCCAATGACCAGTGGTGCAATCACTGGTAAACCTTGACAACCCCCATATCCTTCTACCTGAAATGTAGTGGGTTTTGATAGAATGTGAATATTAACTACCATGAGGTCAATATAACTAAGCAGACACAAAAAGAAGGGAAAAACTGGTAAGAGTTCTATTCAAGTATAAGAATGTCACTGAACATGCTATATGCCTCATTCATCAAAAAAAAAAAAAAGGGAATGCCATATGACTCCTTTTCAAAATGTATACAGAAATAAATTAAAGCAACAGAATTGAAAGGTTTCCTAGTGCCTAAGCTTTGGGGATAATAGGAGTCATCAAGTAGAATTAAACGCAGAGCCGATTAAGCTTATTTTAGGACTTGTTTCGTACATCTGAATGACAACTGGTGGATGCCCAGAGACCCTGGTCTCTGGGGCTTCAAAAATAAAGTTCAACAATTAACAGAATTTGGCAGATAACAGAAAAAGGACTTCATTGAGAACGGAAAATGAGATCCAACCCCAAAATCATTCTCACCCCAAAAATGGAAAAGAAGGAATAATAAAGTTGAAAAGTTGGCACATTAAGGAAATGAAGAAAAGTACTTGAAGAGTAGGCAGGAACGACCACAATTAGCTTAATGCAATCCCCAGGCTGAGCAACATGAGTCAAGGCCCAAACAAGAGCTGTCCTCGGAATTTCCTTCGAAGCTCTAACGGCAACCACCACCACTTTCCCCACCAAATTCGAAACCCCCTTCTGCTTCATCTCAAACCCACGACCCACCTACAATCCAAACCCCCCAACACCTTCAACGCATCCCATAATCAAAACCCGCATCTCATTTTTCCCATAAACAGCAAAAAAAAAAAGGCTCCATTATTGCCAAAAAAAGGAACGGTACATCACCTATTCATCATCCTCCTCGGTATTCAAGATGCCTCTCTTTGGGGTGCCCAGATGAAAGGTAGTAAAGAAAAAGAAGAGGGTCGAGGGGGACGTGCGCTTCAAGGCTCTTTCTTTTGTCAAATTTTAGTACCCTTTCCGTCTAAAAGACAGCTTTTTGGCAAATTGTGAGCACACAGGGAAAAGGGCTCCTTCCTACACAGAAACGGAGGCTGCCCTTTTGTTTTCACGCACAATTCGTGAGATTTATTAGAAAAACCATTCAATTCCCATGAACTCAAGCTGTGAACTTTTCACCTTTCTCTAGCATATCTACCCTCTGGCTTTGAGCATAATTAGAGGAAAGAAAACGCCAATATTGAAAGTGGAGAGGAGCAAACCGACAAAAAGAAACGGACCGGTGTCGTGAGGAAACCACAACTGTAGCTACCAAATGGATGTAAACAAGTCAGATGCTTAATTGAAGGGAGCCTTTTTACTTTATCACCTCATCAAAATATTAAAGAAATATAAAGCCTTGCATGGAGCCCTCAACATGACTTTTTTTAGTAGGAATTAGATCCAAATTTGCTTTATTCTTCACGAGGAAAGTAAAGGTAGGTGTTGGTTGGCAAGAAAATTCAAAAAGATTGATTTGGGTTTCCGAATTTTTGATTCTTTTCCAACCTATCAACTTTTGAGTACTGTTGTTACCCAAAAAATCTTTTGGGTACTGTTGATTCTGGGTTGAAGATTCAATGCTGCTGCCTATAACCTTGTAAAACCAGAAATTTATTACAGTTTCTTTTGCCTGGGAGACAGCACTGTCTTTGTGCTGGGGGCTAGATCCATCAAATGAGGTAAACTGAGATCTTCAAGAAACAGGACACAGTTGAAACTGAGGGCTTCTAACAGATTTGCCTTCAAGATTCACTTTGTGGGGCACTTGTCATGGGTCTAAGCACCAAATCAAGCAAATTTACAGAGAGACCTAAAAATGGATCATGCCAAATTAAATTGCTGTCTTCGTAAGACAATATAGACCTGTGAACTGCCACATGAAGACATAGAGTAGAGCTCGTAGCAGGGCAGAGGTAACATCATTTTCTGAATTTTGAATTCACTTGAATAACATTGATTACATTTTGTCATTAAATGCCACTTTGTCAATAGCACGTTCTTAGTTTTTAGCTGGATAACATATTTGGGAATCTTTTGTTGACCAAGTGAAAATCATTGGGTTATCTGCTAATCTTTCACATAATACTTTGTTGGTGTACCAAACAGGACTAGGTAATAGTTTTGGGTACCTTGAGATTTTTCTTTATGAAAGTGGCACCTAAAGGCTAAAAGAAGAGACAGTGGAGGACTTCTTTTATCAAAGTCATGAATCAAAGCGACTAACTTTGCTTTGATATCATATTATTTCATGCATTTCAAAGTACTTCTGGGCCACCCTTGTTTCGCATACTTTATTTTGCTTTTCTAGATAGGATCATCTCAATAATCCCAATCCCAAAACCATGTTACTCGTCCAAAAAAAGTTTTGCTTGGCTTGGCTTGGCTTTTGAAGTTTGTAAATGAAGATAGCCATGAAAAGGAAGTTGCTGCTTTGATCATTGGTGAGACAGAGACACATGACAACGGAAAGGATAAGAAGCAAGACAAGAGATATGATCACGACTTTTTGTACTGATCATCTCCTCTGAAAGTTGGTTGGAGAGGGAAAAAGAAAGAAATTATTCAGATATATGTAACTCAAGGCTGCACAAAAAAGAAAGTTGGAAGTTCACATCACATGATTCACATCTCAAATAAATAAAAATCAATTAATCATAAAGAAAGATGCTCCCTTTTCCTTTTAATTACTTGCTTGCTAAGATGTTGTTTTGAAGATTTCATTTCCAGTTTACCCAATTATGTCACCAAGAATAACATAAAGCAGTCTTGACCTGCAAGTCAGAGGTTTGAAATTACAGCATTATGGGCTGATGAGAGGTCATTTTAGCCATTTTTTAGTTTGGGAGTTGAAAATAATGAAAATGCCAAATAATGAAATGATGATGAGAGATTCCCAGTATTACAAGTTATCTCCAAGATTCCCAACATTTTAAGTTTTGTGTAGACTGCAAAATACATTTTAAAGTATAAAGTACTTTTTATGTATAGAGTAAATTTTTTGATGAGGGAAAACGGAGAAGCGGTATGTCCAGTACGTCCTGACAAGAAAATGACCAAGACATCCTTGATAAAACGGTGCGTTTCACTGGATAACCCATTTCCCCTCCTCCTTTAACACAGTAAATCCCTAACCAACACTCCTTGATCCAAGTGGAACAAACTGGTTTTTTTAATAAATATCTTGAATTCGGATTTTATAAAAAAATGAATAATCATCGAGATGAACCGGGTTTTAAACTTAGTGATTCATTTTTAAATCTTAAATATTTAAGTTAAATTAGATAAAAATTTAACTTTTTTCATTAACGAATTAAATAATTTAATGATAATCTTGTATCATCGAAAGTAAAAAGTTTTGATTTGAACTGTATGACATATAAATAGAATGAAATAAAAGATAAGGAAGAATTTCTCACATTATACAATCAACATAAAAAAAATAAATTTAACCCTTCCCAACTACTTAAAAATTCCTCAACATCTTATAATTTTTCATGTTCAAAAAATAAATAATAATAATAATCACTTAGATAGCTTTCTTTATGGGGTTAGACGCATGGCTTTAGGTACACCGGAGTTACTAATTAAAAAAAACAGTAAACCATTCTGGCATTCTTAGTTCTTTACGTTGCATAACAATCAGAACACGCAGAAGAGCCCCACCCATGTTGAAGCTGTTGGTTGTCGGCAGCACATCCAAACACAAGCATGGACTGGTATGTGTGTCCATCACCGATGAACCCACCACAAACAGAACAGCCAACATTTCTCCGCAGCAAAATCGAAAGTAAATTCAAACCACCAAATACCCAAATCAAGCTTATGCCTTGATATTTGAAGCTGTAAATCAAGACAACCAATGCCAAATGGAAATCAAGTGGGTACCCAAGAGATCTGGAGAAAGAAAAGAACTGTAATAATCGGAATCGAAATGTGAGAAATCAGATGGTGGCTTGTGAAGGAGTTGGTGAACCTTTTGAGGTTCAAGAATTGAAACATCAGTATTTTATATGTTAGGTACTAAAAGATTTCAAACACTCAAAATTTATAAATTTTCAAAAAATTAGAAAAAAGAATTTCTGCAGAGTAGTTAATGGCCCTGGAGGAAGATTTGATCAAACCCTTTGGTTGTCGATTGAGTGAGGAGAAGAAGGATGTTGGCAACGCAAGCCTGTCTGTTTTGTTAAGATGAGAAAGGAGGAGCAAAGGGACGACCAACTTAAACGCACCGTTTTATTAAGGATGCCCTGTCACGGTGTCACCAAGAATTTTTTTTTTCCGTTTTCTCACAATAAAAATAAAAACAAAAGTGATTCGTAATATTAATTACAGATTTAGTGCGCTAAATTCACTTTAATAAGTGTATTAATTGCTTTAAATAATATAATAATAAATAGAGTATTGAATTACCTTAGATAATTAAATATAAATTATTAGATAGTTAAAAATTTAATATGTTAAATTCACGTATTAATCATTTCAAATAATATAATGATAAATAAAATTTTGAATAGAAGAAAATTGTAATTAACTAAGTATAAAAAAAAAAGAATCTTAGATTTATTTAAATAATAACAAAAATTATAATTAAAAATAACTAAAAAAATAACAATTAAAATAAAAGTCAACCAAGATGTAAGTAAGATATTCAATTTTACCATAATTAATTAATATAAATTTTAAATTAATAAACTTCTAATAGCTATTTGTTAAGTATTATTATATATAATGGTAAATTTCCCTAAATTAACTAACTTTTTCAAATCAAACTAATTATTTACTCATTTGTTAAATTAGTTATATTTTTATATAATTTAAAATACACTAATAAGTATTAAATGATGTGAAAACCTCTCACTTAAAAAAGGGAAATTGCTAACTCTCTTTTGTTCTTCCATTATAACATGTGACACTAATTATCTTTTGATCTCAAAGTCTCTAACACATGATTTATATAGTTATTAGTCCAATTTATGCAATTATTTTCTACTTTCATGCATAAAATCACATAATCAATCAAAAGGTGATTAAACTTTTTAAAGCATTAAGTTCAACAATAAATACTTATTATGCAAATAACTAAATTAAAAGCATAAAAATTACAAATCCATATTAAACTGACTAGGGTATATTGTAGCTTAGTCAAGTAAATTAGTCCATACTAAAAACAATCAAATTTGAAATAATAGTAAGAAACCAATAATTCACAACAAAATAAAGAAATGAAAGTTTAGGAAAAGGAAAATTTTGATTTCCTTGTTGATAAATTCTTGCCACTTTTAATTTGATCTGAGTACCCATGAGGGCTACCAAAAGCCTTCCAAAGCTCTCTCAATTTTGATTCATAGGATTTTAAAAAATTTAATTGGAGTAGAAGTGGAATTCACACCAAAATAATAAGAATTTAGGGTCTATTTGGTTTGGAAAAAAAACAACTTCATTTTGAAAAATATTTTCCTTGAAAAATATTTTCTTTTCTAAAAATTATTTTATGATATTTGGAGCACTTTATAAAACTTTTAATACAAAATATTTTTTATTGTTTGGTAAGTTATGGAAAACCTTTAAATTTGTTAAAATATTAATTAATTAAAGATTCGAAATTAAAACTGGACATTAGAAAATAATCAAAATTGAAAGGTAAAAATATTGAACAAATAATCAAATTTAGTCACCCTTTGCTACAGTTAAAAAAATTACTATATTGTAAGTTATGTAAAGGTAAAAATATTCATAAATAAATTAGGAACATGGAAAAATTCGTTAAAGGCAGTTTTTTGGTACATAGAATCAGAAAAAATCCAGAGAACATCCACATTTATGGCAACTCAAATATAGAAAATATTTATAAAAAATTTAAAAGTTGGTAAGAAATCTTATAACTATTAAAATTTTATAAATTTAAGGTAAAAAAACTTCTTAAGCCCCCAAGCCTGTCCCAAAATAACATTTAAGCCCTTGAACTAAAAATGAAGTAGATGAGCCCTCTAACTCCACAAACGATGCAAATAAACTCTTTTCACAAATGGGTCAAGCGGTATTTCATATTTAATATTACCTTGAAAGCATAAGCACCCATGAATGAGAAGAATTTATTTACATCATTGGTGGAGTTTTAGTGTTTATCTGTTTCATTTTTAGTTTAGGGATTTAAATGTTATTTTGGAGTAAGTTTGGCATCTTAAGAAGGGTTTTTACCTAAAATTTAAAGATAAATTTAAATATAGAAAAAAAGACACATTCTCTTCCAAGCTAAATAGTTATCTTATATTGCACAAGCTATTTCATCCTTTTTTCTTTCCTTTTTTTTTTTTTTTTTGTCGTTCATTCTCTAATTTCCTCTCTCTCATCCTTTTGTGTATGAGAAGCTTTTTTGCTATTGCATAAACTAATTTGCTAGCCATTTACATAACTTAAACCAAACAATAATCAATGATTAGCCTAAA